TATATATATCAGAGCACTATGGCTTAGCTAAATAAACAGCACCGCAAATGTAGCTCCCTTTTAGGCTGACCCTGTCTGATTGAAACTTCAGTTGTCTTGTAGAGACACAGTCAGTTAAAGTGGAAGTGAAGTCTTAACAATAATGTGATAGAATACACAGCATATTAACTAATTATAGCAGTCTTACCTGCCAAAGCAATCCACTCTAGTGCTGCGGTGTCCACACTCTCTTCCCTCGGGAGACACTGCCATCTTTCTCCTGGTCTTTTTTCGTGTTCAAAGACTTCGGTCACTTGATTGGCTGGGCCCAGATGACATAACTCCCGTGCCATGCATGCACATGAGAGTTGTGCTGAGACTGTACACTGAGCTGCACATGTGTGACTCAGTGTACACAAACAAAAAAAAGTGCTGACAGTCAGTAAGAAGGATCTATAACGGAAGACATTTAGACAGTTTCTTCTCTCATAAAAAGCCTGCCTGTCCTGCACTTTTACAATAGTATTAAAATAGTTTTGAAGAGTGTGAATTTCAACTTGAGCTGTTGATCTCTGTAAACGGCAACAGGTGATTGGGAGAAACTGGAAAGCATGATAAATTCATAGAGCTGACTGACCTGCTGACTGGATAAAAGATTAAATAATATCCATATGCAAAATTTGATATTTACCTGACAAAAATATGTTTTCAAAGTGCTGAGTATAAAAAATAAGTAATGTAAAAATGAACAAAACTGCCATAGACTGCCATTAACCAGAAAAATATCAATCGAACCTCTCCAGATAATACATATTCTATGTGAAATTTATTGCAAGTGACTTCAAAGATTCCACTGACCTTTGCAAGTTCAATGCCTGGTAAAAAAAATGATCTTAATGATCTCAGGCACTCTTACCTAACTGCATGGTCCTAACTACAAGATATATTAGTTAGAGGTCAGTAATGTCCTGCCATAGTTAACGGTTGTCACTAAGAGCTTTTAAGAAAACTATTAATTATAATAGTGTCCACAGTAGGAAATGGCGAAATAATCCATCCATGGATACTCTTTCTAGATTCAACCTACTAATTTACTGTAGATTTTAATTGTCCTGCACTGAGTACAAAACATTATCTGAAGGAAGCAGCTGAAGTATTTTAGTAAGTTGTTCCAGAGATAAATACATTTTAGTTATTCATTAGGCATGCCTGAAAACCAATATACAATGGCACAGTGGAATGGAAGGGTAATGAAAGGTCATCTTTAAATAACCTCATTACAGATCAATCAGTCAGCGTCCATGAAGATGCAATTCTGGTCACAAGGTTAATGGCTGCACTAACAAAGAGATGAACAAATTAAAAAATATGACTCTTCTTGCATAACTCAATAGATATTTTAGTAGTAAGAACTCAAAATATGTTAATGTGTTATTGCGGAAAGAGAATTATGTTTTAATCACATCTTTCATTTGTTTAGAATCCAGACGTGTTCCTTGGTATCTCTCTAATTACTGTGGCTTCTCAGTTATCCCTTTGGACACAGAGATCTATCACAAGTTGATGTCGGGCAGTAGTAACAATGCTCTCACCTTAACTAGCGTGCCAATAAAGGTAAGTCTGGATGGAATCAGTGAAATGGTCAACAAGTTGTGAGTGTTAGATGGTGCTTGTTATTGAAATTTGGCACTGCTAATATTAAAGAAGATTAAACCTATTTAGTAATTAGATCAATTGCAGCTGATAATAACGCAGAAGTTAAGCTCTTGTCTATTGAAACCTCTAAAGTATCAGATAGTTACATAGTATTTGAGGTTGAATAAAGACATAAGTCCATCAAGTCCAACCTATTGCGTGTATGCATTTATGGTTGAGCTGGTGTGTGCGTGAGTCCATGTGTGAATTTCCTCTTAGCAGTACCTGTCCCCCTGTATGTTATGATCTCCAAGGAAATCATCCAAGAATTTCTTGAATGATTCCACACTCTTAGCTGAAATCACTGCCTGTGGCAGTGAGTTCCAGACCTTAATGCTCTAACTGAGAAGAACCCCTTGCGCCCCGTGTGCTGAAATTTTTTCTCCACCAATTTTTTATGGTGGTCTTTGTTATGGGGTTAACCGTAAAGAGTTTGTTAATAATGTTGCTGTCACCATTGAACATTTTATACAAGAAAATCATGTCCCCCCTTAATCTCCTTACTTCCAAAGAGAACATATTTAATTTTAACAGCCTTGAAGGACATCTTTTCTGAGTACTGGTGACCAAAACTGGACCGCATACTCCAGATGAGGCCGAAACAAGTGATCTGTAAAGATAAAAGCTCAAATCTAATCATATGTCCTCACAATGTGTCTTATTGTGTTTGGAAGATATAGTCTAAAGCAGGGGTGCCCATTAGGTAGATCGTGATCTATCAGTAGATTGCAAAGCAAAAACTGGTAGATCCCGATCGGCACACTGACCTGTGTCCTGTCCTCCCGCGGTACTCGTGCGGCTGAATGTGGCAGACGCTGCAGACGAGAAGGAGAGAGGAGAGGAGACTTTTGGAAGCTGCTGCAGTGGAGGTAAGAAAAGACAGACAGGAGAGAGACAGTAGAGAAAGCGAGAGAAGAGACAGCAGAGAGAGAGAGAATAGACAGCAGATAGAAACAGGGGAGAAAGAGAGGAGAGAGCGCAAGGAGAGAGAGAAGAGAGGGCCGGTTGACTTCAATGCACTGCCACGCCCCCTCCCGCCCCTGAATGAAGGTGTTGTTGCATTGGTAGATCTCATTGAGCTCGTCATTTGAAAAGTAGATCTCCAGACGAAAAATTGTTGGCGCCCCTGGTCTAAAGTATAAAAGTCCACACATGTAAAATTGTTGAAATATTGGTTTGATGTTGGCATTCTTGGTCAGAATACATAAACTTTTCTCATCCAGGGTTCTTCCAAAGTTTGTTAAAGGTTCTTTAAGCAATGAGCAATTTCTCCCTCCCAGTTACTTTAACGCTGACCCAAGTAACCTTTTTAGCCATCTGTAAAGGGCACCTACTTCCCTCTGACCACCAAAATAAGGAGCATTCTGGCTACTGACTACCAGTGTAATGAGACCCTACTACCAATCCATCCATGAATGTAAGAAGGTCCTTCCCCTTATCAATGTGAGTGTACATTAATCCACTGACCACCATGGGAGGGAGCACTGCAATTTTCACTTGATTCTTTTCTGGTCATTATTATTTGTTAAATTCAGTTATCACTGAAATAATTTTTCTCGTATAGAACATCCCTGGGTGTCAAATATGGGAATTATGCCAAATATCTTATTCTTTCATATATTCTTATACTACAACTTACAATTTATGGTAATGTACTGTGAGATGCAGCGATTTCATGAGACTCAAGCATATCTCCATGTTAACAATGTTGCGAAAGGTTGGTATAGATAATACTTATACCCCATCTTACATCTTTTTTTCAGGGAACAGAAATGAGGACTGTCTCTGGTGGGTCTCCCTCTGTGTCATTGCAACTGCTGCTACTGAAGTCTGAGGTAAGTGGAAGTGGAATGCTCAATTATTTGTATAATTATTTGTATAATGAATTCTATGTACATCCCATTTTAAGTTGTTTAGTTATACCCCTTACACTGTTTATTTAAGATATTTTTTTTTGGTTTGTACCCTCTTGTGATTTAATGTTTATTAGGTGACCAATAGTTACATTGCCTAAAGACAATAACAATGTGGCTGCCAGAACATGCATGATTCATTGGTTGGGTCATTGATGTTCCAGCAAGCACTGTACATGTTTGCATGCCATGGAGATAAAAGGGGAACCAGCCTATCATTGGGAAAACCATTGTGGTTGGACAGGACAAAAAAAAAAACAATGATTGACCTCCCATTCAAGAAGTTTGGGCTAATGGGTGTCAAGGAAGACCTACAGACATACAGAAATATCCCAATCCAACTGTAACATCAGGTCAGATGAGTAATCCCTATTGTTTGTAGGTACCTTATATTTAGATCATGGAGAAGTTCAGCCAGAAATGTTTATTAAAAGTGCCTGAACAACTGGTGACAGTATGGAATCTAACCACCCATCAATCTCTTCCTCTCTCCTCCTTATGTTCTTTAGCTTTTCTCTCTTGTCTCATTTATAATCTGAACTAACAAGCTGTCGATATCTTTTCATATCACCCCTCAGGGCTAGTGGGAGGTGGACAAGGGGAAGCTTCTGCCTAATTTCCCCCATGAGACAGTACAGAGAAAAAAGGAGGGGTCCTGTTGAATAATTCAAGAAGTTTCCTCCCCTTGAGCTGCAATAAATAACCTCCCTCCTGCTCTAATGTCAGGCACTGAATTAATTCAGAGACACACCACTTAAACTCAATTTTTAGCATAGTGGAAGATAAAATGAGAGTCTGTGATGAAATGTCTATACATTTGGGATGTTTATAAAGCTGGTGGAATGGATAAAGGGAGTTACACTTCTGGGTGTTACATTACTTAATATGTTTTTATAGTGAGGCTAGCATCTTGTTCTTACAAAGAGAAGAACCCAGCTAGATTGGGTATGTGTATACAAAGGAGATATGGGTTACCGTGCACGATCAACAGAATAACAAAGAATTGCTTCTGAGTCTAGAGAAAATGAATGCTGGCAAATATTGTTTCTTTTTGTTCTTTTTGTCCCTGCAGTACAGTGCTCTATGCTCCCATGTTAATCACTATCTAATGAGTGGGGCTCATGCAGGCACACACTGTGATCTGCACACAGGCAAATGTACTCCAGATGTCTGTTATTAACTTCTATTACCAACTAATGTTGTCATTTAGAGGGAAATCACAAAATAGAAAGAACAGGATTGATCATTTTACTGCTAACACTAAAACTGTACACAAGAACAAAATAAAGAGTGCTTATTGTAAGCTATAGAAGTCAATAGCTATAGATGTTTTAGCAATCTGTATTGCTTTATCTACAGGGGAGAAAATCAAGTTTAGTGGCCTGACTATGCTGCCTGTCAGGCTTTAGTGAATCCTAAAAGTGGTAGAACAGAATTACTAATCCTTTGGCAGTAAAAAAAAAAAGTCCTGACGTGTTTTAAACTGTGCATTTAGCTGCTAGCTTCTAATTAACTGTGAATTTAGCTGCTAGCCTATAGTTATTATTATTATTATTATTATAATACAGGATTTATATAGCGGTCCAGTTTGAGCAGCGCTTTACAATATAAGGAAGGCATTGCAATCACAATACAATTCAAGACAAGATGGTAAGAAGGGCCCTGCCCGTGAAGTTAACTGTGTATTTAGCTGCTAGACTATAGTACTGTGAGTGCAGTAACCTATAGTGCCCAATCAGAACTAGAATAAATTCTAATTAGTTGTTGTAAGCGTCTGTACTTAAGAATCATTATCAAAGAATTGGAACTCTTTATTGAGTTAGGCCACTCATGTGTATCCAGATTATCTGTATTAAACACATGATTTGTTTTGTTCTTTAGCATCCGGAGATGTTTTTAAGTCCATCAGAAACACAGTCTTCTACTGGAAAACAACAGCACCCTGCAAACAACACTAATGTGTCCTTTAGAAATGCAAGCAGGGGTGAGGTAGGTCCATATCAGAAGCATATGACATATATTCAGTATATATATTCTGTTCCCACTGTTGATCAATGCATTATTGCATACAAACTGCTGTTGAATGTGAGATTACTGCCCAGTGTGGTGTATCTTAATAGATCAATGAACTACGACCCCATGGTCAGGAAGATCATTCACTGGGCCATGCTGTGTTATATGCAGTTCTTATTACACAATGCTGTTTATTATTTACTGCTATTTCATATAATCTCATTGGTGCTGTGTATTGTGGGATCATTGTTGATGAATGCAAAACTAGAGTCAACATCATGGCTGCTCCCCTCAAAAAAACGCCACCAAATACACAGTTTTTTTCCATTTACTGTGACCACACGTAATCGTCAAACACAAAAACCACATTCATTTTATAAAGTAATTTAAATTTATTAGGTTAACATAAAGTATTCTAGCATAACAGACATATTACATACAAGTGCACAGTATTACTAGCCAAAAAATTGTTATTCTCTTCAGTTGCTCACATCCACACACACCTGCCATGCTATACAGCCAGATGGTAATACTTCTATTAATTCTCATGAACTCTGCGACTTTCTGTGTCACCTACTGGTATGTTACTGGTGGATGGAGCTTTTGGCTTTTGGTGCAGCCCCCCTGCAGCAAAAATCAATGCCCCTCTTTATCGCCCCATTTATATTGTCCATAACACTAAACCCTCATACTAACCCTTCCTTATGCACACTGATCCCTTTGTCAGCATAGTTACCTCTGCCAGGTTTACACTGCACCAATGACTAAATATCGAAAGATACTTGAGCCTTCTTCCCTGTGCTTTATTTCTGACAATCTCTGAGATTTTCTGTCCTCACTTTATCTGTGGGCAAATGTTAGGTCAATGTAGAGGAAACATGAAGTAGGAAAAGGCAGGGCCAGAAAACTGGAGGAATGTGGGACAGTTCTATAAGTATGTGTTTTTTATGCGGATACATTTTGAGGTTGGAACATTTACAAATGGCCACATATAAAAGGATTTTGTAATGAGCTCCAGTCCTGCTTTAATCCACTCCTAGTTTGTTATTTGTCATGCAACAAGTTGAGTCTGGAGGACTTAAGTTAGCATTGCAATGCCACAGACCCAGCAAACACGACAGACTTCAAAGATCACGAGGCAGCACTATCGGGTAAAGATATATTAAAGGGAAAGAAAGCCATATCATCAGTTGGTCAAGAACTGATTTTTCACTACACCTAATGCTAAGGAGTAAGACAGCTGTTTCTCCCAACATCAGTTACCCCGTCCTCATTTTCCCTGCGGACTTTGTGACAGACTGAATGGCCCTCTCTCATGTGTTTCTTGTCTGCTACGGGCAAATCCTCTGGTTCAGATGCTACATCACAAGTTACATAGCTACATAGCAAGGATGAAAAATATGGTATGGCATTGACAAAGCTCTAAAGGCAGAACACAAAAATACCCTGCATGGTCCAGTTTTTCCTGTTTTGCAACAGGAAAACAATGATCAGAATCAAGAATCAGATAACTCCCTGCATAAACATTCCACAATTTCATGTCTTACAAATGTGAGTTTTTTGTTTTTTTTTTAAATATTGTGCACTTTTAGAAATGCATCTAGCATTTTTTTAAACAATCTACTGAGTCTGCTACAGGAGTAGGAAAGACTGTCACAGGTTTTTAGCACTATTACAGTAAAGAACCCAGTTTTAGGCCAAGCCTCCTCTTTTCCTTGTTGTTCCCCAAAGGAAATCAAATCACTTCTTGGATCAACATCCTATACTATATTTTGTTATAAATATTAGTAACTTTTTAGATTTGATGCTAGTTGTCTGCAAAAGTTTATTTTGCCATATTGGGAGTGTGCAGTTTACAGGTGCAGATAGTGTTTAAGCTAGTGAAGGTTTGGTGTTCTTACATCTTTTCTCATATTTGTGTCTATGCCAAAACTTCCTATTCAAAAACATGGAGAGCAGAGACAGGTACGCTCTTATTTGTACTGCTGACAGGTTAATGTACACAATTGTACCCATATATTGCTTTGCTGTTACAGTGCAGTTTGTCTTCTGAGCAGTGGCATTATCTGACTACCTTGTGAAGAGGTCTTTATAGTTATGTTGGTAACAAGAACTGTACATATTCATGAGGCCCTGTCCATGGACCACAACAGCTGTGTGTTAGGATTTCATAAATGTGTGCACAGTAATAGCAAAAAAGAACATGGTGTGTACATGTATATCCTGTCACTGTCAGATCTCCACCAACACATTGTACTGAGATTAGTTTACTGCTGCTTGCTCTTACCGTATATTATACTATAGTTATTTTCCTGTTATTCTGTAGTCCTGTATATTAGATCATGTGCTATTAATGCTGAATTGTGGCAAATCACTGATGCGTGTCACAATATATACTGAGATATAATTGTTGTGTTCTCCGACACTGCTTCATAGCCCAAAGCTGAAATCTGCGAGATTACTTTACCAGTTAATGCTGTATTTTCAAATAGCTGCTCTTTCCAGCGATGTGGACTGAGATTGGCTTGTGATATATATGAAGAAATTGCTGCTTAGCTTTGTGTTCTTAACAGATTTTCAATGACATTGACAAAACACACAGGAAATTATCACTAAATTAGAAATAGGATGATGGGGAAAAGAATGACACAGTTCGGATGAGCTGGAAAAGGCAAAAGAGACGACGGGGACCATGGTTTACTAAGCTCCCTGTTCTCTTCCTTGGGTTGTCTCCACATTTGGATTAGTCCACATAAGCAAAGGATGAAAGGAAGGGATGAAAGGCAAACAGCTGCTTTTCTGCTTATCGCTGATGCCCAGAGTAGAAACTATATTCCTGCAGAGACTGCTGAGACTTCTCATCTAGGCCTGTGTCTTTGAGGAAACTGCTGAGTCCGGTCTGTTGGGGCTGTTTACCGTTCTTCTGTAATCCAGCTTCTCTGTTCGGGCACATGCTACTGATCTGATACTCTTTAGGCTTAGATCTGTCATTGCATACACTCTGCTGTTAAACAATCTAAAAAATACACTCTGTGTATTTGCATGCTTTTGGGCTGTCACAGCATTACATGCACCTCCATACTTGCATTTCCTCCTGGTTTCAGTACATAGTGTGAAGGTTCCCAAAGCCTCACATCCATTCATGGGATGATTCTTTTGCATATCAGATTGTTTCATAACTAGCCTTTATATATGGGGTGTTCTGGACTTCCATAGATAAAGATGTCAAAGAGATAATGGTTGAAGCAATTGTAGGAGATTCATTGCTTTTCATTTTACGTGATCAGCTCTCTTTTTCTGTGTATCATTCAGAAGTTCACCTTAAATTACAAAAGTCCAGACAAAAATGAATGAGCTCCCTTAACGAACTGCACATTAGTACACTTGCAAAACATGCATGTGAATATGAACAGGTGTAACCCTAAACAAGCCCTCATTCACCATTGTAAATATAGGCTTTGTGGAGGAATGTATCTTCAAAGATCACAACAGAGGCACTGAACTCACAGTTTCTTTAAATTTTTTTTATGGAGAGCAAAATCTTAGCGGCCTGCCTGCCTTCTAATGTAAACCAACACCGGGTGGATACGTAGAGAGGGGTAGTCCTAGGCAGGGCTATACTGTGCTATTTTAGGGTTTAATAAAGTTGGATGTGATCTGACATCATCAGTGTGTGACTTCCTGCTTTCCTACCAGGCGCTGTAGAAATCAACTGAAATCAGACTTAGTTGTGATCTTCGATGATCTTTGAGGATGAATCACTTCACAGTGCATGCAGAGGTCATGGGTGGCTTGTTAAAGCACTTTTACTGCTTGTTAAGAATGTGTAAATACTTTAACTCCTTCCTGTCCGGCCGCTATAATTAGAAGGGACACTCTTGAATGCGGGTGGACTGTCCGCATTTTAAACAGTCAGCGATGGCTGTTTACATACAAGCGTTCGGGCGGCTATAGAGCTGCCAGATCGCTTGTAAATTGCGTGCAAGTGTGCACCCCCCGCCACCACCGCCTATCCCGTCCCCTGTGCAGGCCCAGGACCATATTGGCAGCTCTCTATCAGAGGGAGATCAACACACGACCTCCCACTGATCTCCCCTCCGATCTCTGAATGCGGAAGTTATGTTTATTACATCACTTCTGCCTTCAGCTGCCATTTGTGTAGCCAGAGAGAAGCTGGTGAAGCAGATCTCTGCTTCATCAGCTTCTTTGGGGGTCCCTAAGTGACATTAGGGGTCTAATTGACCCCTGATGTCTCCATAAAGAGGACCTGTCACTGTATATTTGCTATCAATAGGTTAAAAAAATTAGTCACATAAAAAATTAAAGCCACATAAAAAAATCGAAGTCACATATAAAAAAAAACCAAAAAAAAACCACAAGAACATTTTAAAAGTCTCCTGCCTCCATGTACACACATGCAAACGCAGTTGTGCTGCACAAGTTACATATCACGCAAACATCGGAGTCTGACCAATAATTCTAGGGCCATCAATCACTGTTAGCACTAAACTGATAAGCATTAAATGATTTTAAAGTATCGCCTATGGCCAATTTTGGGTATAGTAGTTTTTTTGCAATTTTGCAGGCACACACAATTTTAAGGCTTGACATGTTTGGTGTCTATTTACCCGATGTGGCCCCATCTTTTATATTTTACCAAAAAATTGGGTAACAACAAATGTTTTATAACATAAGGTAGGGAAAACTGGGGGGGTTGGTTCAACATTTTCACTACTTTTTTTCAAATATATAGTAAAAAATAAAAAACCCAGTGGTGATTAAATACCACCAAAGGGATGCTTTATCTGTCCTAAAATATATGTAAAATTATTTTCAGTACAGCATTGCATGACTGAATAGATGTCAGTCAAAGTAGCTCAGTGCTGAATAATGAAGAATGGCCTGACAGGAAGGGGTCTTAACACCCCGGTCTTTTGAGAGTTTAATTCCAGAATCTGGGCACAGGTGCTGAGGTC